ATAGTTAATAGAACTAACCTGACCAAGATCAGTACCCCCTACACACATCCTTGGCTTTTGGGTCCTGTGGAAATTCAGAGTAATTAACAAATGTGGTCGGGCTCAAGACCCACCCCTAGAGCTTAACACAAATGAGAAAAAACCCTCTGTGATAAACCATTTTGCTGTAGTTATAGAAAATATGAAACTACATCATTTCTTAAGAAGACAGCTATTGAGGAGAAACAAGATGGTGGCGTAGGTAACAGCTGCACCCGCCGCCTCCCACAACCACAACAAAATTACAACTAAAACACAGAACCACCATCACTCAGAGCCTCCTGAAATCTGGTGGAAGAGAAGCCCTACAACCAGGGAGCTGAAGCAGCATCAAGACCAGTAGGAGGGGTGGAAATGCGGGCGGATCGGGGCTGAACAGGAGACGCCGCCGTACACCCGGTGCCGCGGTTAAACCTGGGAGGGAATCTTGGCAGTGGAGGGTTCCCGGAGGAGTGAGGGGTCCCAGCCCCACAGCAGGCCCTCAGCCCAGGGATCCAGGTCCAGGAACAGACGTCCCCATAACTTCTGGCTGTGAAAACCAGCGGGGACTGTCACTGAGAGTCCAGGAGGCGGGAGTCCCAGGCTCTCCTCTTAAAGGGCCCGTGCAAGGACTCACTCGGACGCGCTCCCTCTGAGCCCCAGCGCCAGGCAGCAGCTTGAAAGGAACCTGGGACATTTAGGGAGTTATTAAGCTGCCTGAAATCGAGGTGAGAGCTGAAGGGGCAGCTTTTTCCCAGGCAGAAGGTGGGAGAGGCCATGGCTCCTGTGGCGAGTCCTCCCCACACACAGCCCGCAGGCAGGCGCCATATTTGAATCTCCAGCCCCTGACTCACACCTTTCACCCTGCCCTGGTGATTCCCAGAGGCCCCGCCCCTCCCTACCTGTAAGCTCATCCAAGCTGTTTCCAATGGCTTTTCTATGCAAGTGGCCTCTCGAGCCTTATACTTAGGACTTTCCTAAAATCTCTCAAACAAGCAGCACCGTGCCCCATAGGGCTTGATTAGTGGCCCCAGGCCTGGCACTAGTGGCAGCTGCATTGGTTCACAGCTGGGCCTCTCCTGGACAACGCAAAGCCCAGCACAAGTAGCAGGCAACTACAGTTTGCTCTGTAGCTCATGCCAGGTGGCCCTGGGCAAGACACTGGCAGAGGCTGACTTTGCACCTCCAGGGAGGCCCCAGAAACAGTGCACCTGGTGGTTAGACTTGACCATGCTGAATTAAAACTCTAACACATCCACGAGTGACACTCTCAAGGGGTGGACTTGGTGAACACCAAAGCCCCACTGAAGTAAATCTTGCTCCACAGCGGTGTCTCCAGCACAGCAGCTCTTTGGCTGTAGTTGCAGCTGGTCCCCACAGCTGACTGGCCAGGGAATCAATTCCTCCCAGTGATGCCAACAGCAACCAAGGCTCAATTACAGCAGGACAGTGCACACAGCCCACACAGGGGAGCACCTAGAAGGCCCAGCTCAGGTGACTGGGGAGGCTGAGCCACTGGACCCCACAGGACACCTACTACACAAAGCCACTCTACAAATTCCA